CAAAGTGTATTTTAGCATAGGAGTGCTTTTGTATTGGAATCACTTATGCAAGTTTCGCCCGCCCCTCGCTCCACTGACCATTAGACCATTTAGCAAGGTAAAAAGCAAAAACGCCTCTGATACCTCATTCACACCAATGGTGTTTCAGGGCCGGTTCGGAGCTGGAGCTTGAAAAGCACGGGGTTTTCCTGTTCACATCGCAGCGGAGCAGCCTCTTAGCTCCAGAATCCGGTTCGTTTCAAGCACCAAAAAATTGTCCGGCCAGAGCAAAAGCACCGCATACGTCACACTTACGTCGAGGCGGGGGCAGGGGCGGGATCAACTCCTGAACAACAACAAAAAGCCGGCGTTTTATCCAGTTTGTACACAACGATGGAGAAACTTAACAAGCAGCAGTGGTCCACTGAAGAGACCAGCTACCTACTGGGAATCTGGTCTTCTGAAGAGGTACAGAGGAAGCTGGAGCACAATCGGCCATTGTTGTTGTTGTCGGTGGCAGTTGTGAGGGGTTTCCGCGTGGTTTGGCTTTATGAAGCAGGCACGCAAACGGTTACGTCACGACGCAAATGATGACGCAATAACGCAGCACCAGTCGGACTCTGGGCGGTGTGAAAAGAGCCGGAGCTAAACCGAAGAACCGGTTCTGAACCTGAAAAGCTCTAGCACGGAGCTTGAACCGGAGTTGCGTTGGTGTGAATGAGGTATCGGACGCTCTTCCGTTTACTTGTTTAATAAAGAAAAACAAATGGTCCGTAGATACACGGATTAACAATGCTGAAGTTTTGCTTTTTTGTCAATATATTTTCTAATAGTGAGTCTAAAATAAAAGTGTCTTTAAATTGCAAAACTCTACTGCCAGGGCTCAACCTTTATAATAAATGACTGTTTTCAAAATAAACAGAAAAATAAAACACAAACCATAACATTAAATAAATATACAATATAGAACTGCTTTATTGAAGTCTCCATCCAAAAAAATGACAGATCATTGTGTCCAAAGGGAAAACATAATCTGAGCAGGAGGGTAATATTGGACAGGGCAAAACAAGGCAAGCCAGGGTCTTGCAGTAAAACAGCAATAGGCCGTTCTATACAGCCTGTGACAAATTTAAACCATAATTCAATACTTTCAGACTTTACAGTTATTCAGATATAAGAGCAAAAAGAGAGTTGATCTTAAGCTTGTGATGAGAGCCCAGCAGGTCGTGTGAGTGAGAGATGTTTTCATATCATCGCCTCTGGTTCAGTCCTGTGAGGTTCTTCATCTGTAAAAACAAGACCAAAATCAGCCTAATTTCTATCAATACTTTCTATCAATATTCAAATGGCTTTACAAGTAATCATACCTTTTAAAAAGGCATTGAATAAAAAATGTAATACTAATGACTGTCTGGTTCCAAATGAAGAGTTTAGACTAGACTGTGTGTACAGGTGGACGAGGGGAAGAATGACTGCTAATGTAACTACTTTAAAATAGTGAATGATAAACAAGACTTACGGTAACAGCAGCTCCCATGAGCCCCTGCACCACTGTTTCACCAGTCGCCTGCACCTAAAGAATACAGAGGAACACACAACCATTTATTTCGAAATTGGGTAAAATTACATTTAAACACAGGTTAGACTCCCTGTTTCTCTTGCTTCATTTTGAACTCATTGTCCTGAATTTGTATGAACAGGGTATATGCAGGAATCCTGAAGTCAAATGTAATACCTTTTAAGACCTTTTTTAAGACCCTTTGAGGGGGTTTCCGACATGTCGTTTCAGTAAATTAAAGGGTGTTTCATGTTGTCGTTGCTGTGGACCTTCTTAATACCTTAGAAAATGCCGTTTAATACTTTTTAATAGCCTTAATTTTCGCTAAATTGATTTATCAACTTTTAATACTTTTTAAGACCCCGCGGACACCCTGATGAATCAAATCATTTTTATCTTTCAGTTTTCTTTGGCAGAATTAAGACCAATATGAGATTTTCAATTAGTAAAGAAATCATGCCGGTGAACATGTCAGTGAATATTTCAACTAATCTGACAAATAGGGCAAACCCAGGTCAAATGTCATTTGTAGGAAAATTAATATAAACAATGACATCCTCAAGGTACGCACAAAACGCTGTATGTGAACAGCAAATAGTGCCGTTCCCACAGTCTCGTTGCACCGACAAGAGCAGCTAGTGATGACTCATCTAATCTTATCATTCATACATTTCAAATTGTGCTTAGGGGAATTATTTTCACCAGATATTATGACCAGAGAGATTTAAATGTGCCGTACTATGAGAGATTGTTTTTGTCAACACACACAGAGCTGGGTATTCCTACTTAAAGTATCAAAAGGAGTCTTAAACAGCTCCTCTCAATAACCCTTCTGTAGCTCCTCAGTGTTATATAGGCTCTCTACCTGTTTGGCGGTGGTTGCCATGTTGACCACATCCTGAATGCGGTTGTCAAGGAAGTCCCAGGTGTCCTGGAAGTCAGGAGAGGAGTCCTGCAGCATCACCAGCTCGGTGGTGTTGTAGATGCCCGTCAGTGCCGCACGTTTGGTGTACCAGTTCATCTGCAGGAGGGGAGGGGGGGGGGGGGCGGGGAGAGGGGGAGAAGGAAAGAGGTTAAAAGACAGAGCGTTGGATGTCAAAGAAATCAACAGAAGAAGACAGACAGGAAGTAAACACTAACAGGAACACAGTAGGGGCTCTGGCATTGTTTAAGGCCTTGTTACAAACAGGACAACTGATAATATTCAGTCTGTCCATCAAACGTCAACAGGTCAATTTGCTGAGTTGAGAGAGTATTGTTTATCACCTACTTAGTTTCAAATCATCACTTTTATCGCTCTGGTTTATACAGCCTAATTTAAGCGGAGTATTGATTCAATGTTTGTATCTGCCAGATAATCAGTACCAAGTCATATCTGTGACATTAATGTAAACTGATGAATTAGAGACAGGTGTAGTGGGGGGAGTAACCTGGGCGGTGGCAGGCCTGATATTGTGGGGGTGGTGGTGGAGGGGGGAGAGGAAAGTATGAGCAGACGAGGGAGGGGATCGAGGGTGATGGGATCCACTCACGTCTGTGGATCGGTCTCCGGCGTAGTACCACATGTCGTCCACCAGGGTGGAGAGGTGCTTCAGGCTGTCAGGGATGTTGTGAGGGAGGAGCAGGATGCTCATCGCCTGAGGACATACACACACAGTCCAGCATCAGTCCTGAAGGGTACACTAGGAAAGGTGTATTGTTTGACAGAGTCAGGGTTTTGTTGACTGAGCTGGCTCGAAAAAAACTAAAACCTCTAATCAGACATAGCAGGTACCACAAGGGTGGTTATTAAATGTCATTAGTTCTAATCCAGACTTTCTTCCTCAGGCTCTGTGCACCTTCTAATGAAATGAGGCGGGTTAGTGCGTAATTTCACTCTTCTACCATGGGAAATGATTATTTAATCAAGATTATAAAAAAATACACGTTCTGCGGCTCTTAAACTTTAAACTCGATGCGGCAGATTTAAACGTTCTCCATAAGAACTGCATTTAGGTCTGACACTGTCCCATAATGAAGTATGCGTTAAATATCACTTGTTATTGGTTGAATCAAAGTAAAATGAATGTCAAATGTATTGATTGAATAGTAACTGTGATATATACCCATAGACCAATACATTTTTTGCCGTATAACTGCAATATACCAGCAGTGTAAAACAGAGATCAGCAAATCCAAAGAGGTGGAAGAAGTAGTCAAATATTTTACTAAGGTAAGCAGAAATAATACAGTGTACAAATACTCTGTTACAAGTAAAAGTCTT